ACTTTCGTCAGAGGAAATCGCTAAAAGACGCTATTTCTGTTATTTATCTTTGCTGGAAACAATCTTTTGTACCTACCCGGTATACATACTCAGAAGATTCTGTCCAATCTTGTTTCTAAGTTGGAAATACAAATCTTTCCGGTCGCCGTGAACCCAAATGGAGAACTGATAAGGCGGTGACCAATCAGCGAAGATGTAGCCAGGATTCTTGGCGGGTTCCAGGACTTTCACCCAGCACATTATCGTAAATGCGGAGAACTCATAAAGTTTAACGGCTGGTACGTCGGCATACGTTCCATTTCCACTCAAATACAAAGCGGTCGTACCATCCTGAGACTTGTAGGTAGCTCCATTACGCAAGCTGGGTTTCATATAAAAAGGTATATTACCATTGATAAAGTCCTGCCCAAACAGACTTGCAAGCAGCCGCAAGTACCCACAAGTTGAACTTGTGTAGAGACTCGCAAGTTTCCTCTCAAGTACAAGCAAGTGGCTAAAAAATCCATTTTAATGCATTGCAATGCATTTTCACGCACTCAACTTGGACGTCAGTCAACTTGGTTTGACTTGAAAAACTTGCATCGACTTGCGTACAAATTTGATATCGACTAAAGAGAGCGCAAGTCAACTGAAGTGCACGCAAAGCCTGGCCAAACCGAGTCGCAGGTAGACCCAAGTTTTCAACTTGCGTCTAATTGCGAGTCCGTTTGGTCAGGGCTTCATATATTTTAAATTCCTTTGTTCTGGACATGAGCAGCACATAAGCAGCACGTAATATGCAATAAACTCAGTACCAAAGTCTGCATAACTGTTGCAATTTAGAGAAAATCATTTGTTTTTCCTATGGTTATGATCTCATCTGTAAAATAGTTTCTAATGGCCCCAAACGTCAAAAGTCAAGTTTTGTCTGTTTAATTCCAGAACACGCTGCAATCAGATACAAACTCCCTAAGTCTGTTTTGTTACAGCAACAAAGAGATTTGGACTACTGTAGCTTTCATGCAAGGCTGAACATAGAATGCTCTCTATTCAATCAAAAATTCCGAAACGGGGTCAAATATTACGAACTTTTCCCGGAAAAGTCTCCACAAAATTCGATAATTGTTGATCATGAATTTCCAATTCGGGAAATTCTTGGAGGAAAGTCACTTTTGTGGAACGATAATTCTCGTTAAGAAATTTACGGGAATTCCGTAAAATGCTCATCTATTTGTAAATGAAATATCCGGATATTCAAATTAAAATTTTTCATCGAATGGCAAGCGCCCCCGACAACAGAGGAGTATGAAGGGCTTTTTTTATGAAAGGCTCTACAATAACTGTCTAATTTCTCGGGCGCTGATTGGCTTATTTTTATCATCAATAAGAGTACGAATGGATAAAACTTTCAACTTTCAGTTGTCAAACTGTCAACTTTTTAACTGATGAGATTTTATGGACTTTTTTAAGTAGCCAATCAAAAAGCGAGAAAAGCTATTGACAATGTGCGCGTCATTTTGAATAAAATTCACTTATCTTTGTTTTACAGCAACGTCTTTTCCCCTCATTTATTCCCGGCATTTGACCATTTTTGGGTCTTGTTATTGTAAAAAAACAAATTGACGTCAGTTTTTTTCATGCGTCTGTCCTCTTATTGATGATAAATTGCGTCATAACATTGTCAAAGTGTACTGAGGAACCACTCGCCTGCGGCTCGTGGTTCCACAGCCACTTTGACAATGTTATGACGCAATTTATCATCAATAAGAGGACAGACGAATAAAAAACCGACGTCAATTTGTTAAATCGAAGAACAGTATCAAGGACTGTTTTTTTTTTTTTTTAACTTACATCACGTCTTTGTCATAGCCGTCAAGAAGCCAACTGGCAGCAAGCTCTGCAGTTCCTACCAGGGATAAAAATATGAAAATATGTTAGAGGTTTATTTATTTTATCCAAGTACAATGGAATTATTTTTCTCTCGTTGGAGCGCTATTCTTTCCCTAGCATCCCATCCAGGGAGGAGTAGAAATACTCTAATAGAAACCGGGATAAGCTCCGGCCTGATGGGCCACTCGGCTGGTCTGCACACTTTACCTTTACCAAAGGTATTAGGGCTATTCTGTAGATTTTCTCTCGTTGGAGGTCTATTCTTTCACTCAGAACCTTCTTTTGGCCGAATTTTTGTACAGAAATGTTGGCTTTGCCGAGAGAGTATGCTTCAATGCAATATAACAGAAGTAATTAAAAAAAAACGAAATAATAAACATAAGCGCTTTACGTATATATATCAAAGAAGCCTTGAAGCGAATAAATACGATTCCAGTTCCAGTTTGTCGGAATTTTGCGACCCTTAATTTTGTGACAACATTATCCAAGCTGATATAATAACTCTATCTTGTAATATCGTGAATTATTAAATTCTCAGCCTCCGATAATGCTATTCTAGCTATCTGATTGGTTCACTGGATCTCGGTTACCAGCCATTATACCTGCGTTTGACCTTATATGGAAAAGAAAGCGGCAAATGTCGCTCGGCATGAGCTTTTTCGCGTGAAGCAAAGTTTCGTCGACAAAAAAAATGGATGAAAAAAAGCACATTCGGTGAGCTATCTACTCAGGAAATATAGGAAATTATGGACAATGCCGTCCCAGTAACAACAAAAAAGCCACAAAGTTCGAGATAAGATTATTTAACGGTACGTATACGTTAAGTTTCCCTTAAAGNCTCTCGGATTGGTTCACTGGATCTCGGTTACCAGCCATTATACCTGCGTTTGACCTTATATGGAAATGAAAGCGGGAAATGTCACTCGGCATGAGCTTTTTCGCGTGAAGCGAAGTTTCGTCGACAAAAAAAATGGATGAAAAAAAGCACATTCGGTGAGCTATCTCCACAAGAAATACAGAAAATTATGGACAATGCCGTCCCAGTAACAACAAAAAAGCCACAAAGTTCGAGATAAGATTATTTAACGGTACGTATACGTTAAGTTTCCCTTAAAGTTGCAAAATTAAAATATGACCGGCGAGATTTTACCCATTCATGAAGATTATGTGACAAAAACAATGTCTGCCTCAACAGAATGGCTTGCTGGTCCTGGTGGCACCAAATTTTCGAAACCGATATAAGAAAGGTCAAAAGAAGAACTGAATGTTAAGTTGAAGTGTTTTTACTCGTCTGCGAGGAAGAAAGATGACACATATTGCAAAAGTTCATTGATTAAATCTATTAGAGCCGCCGGTTGATCATTTCCTTTGCACGCCGCCGCACAACAAACCGTTTTCCATTATCTCTGATCAGGCAAATAAATTATTAGAGCATATGCATTTGTAAAAGGCCGCAGGAAAACAGGGATAATTGCCGGCGTAGTCCATAAGAAACCAGTTTCCAATGAGCAGATGAGGAAACTGTTCGACTGAGCAAGCTTGGATGGGCCGAGAGCAAAAATCCCGCAAAGCTACAGAGGACGACCTAGTTTCATCTCAGTCTCTTTTTTGGCCGACCACAACGACAGAATCAACGACAGCTAGCGCCAACAATTCTGTCCTTGAGAAAAACACCTCAAGGAGTTGAGTGTTTTGAGCTGAACCGAAGCGAGCCCGGTTCTTGACCAGCCACGAAAAACCGGAGATTCTGAAGATGAATCTGACGCTAAGATAGTTTCTGTCCTTGACTCTAAATCTGGCCAACAATGAGCTCCACACATACAGCTCGAAATGCCAAGGCTGTCAAAGCAAGGGAATCCTGAAAGGGGTCTTGTCGAGATTAATTTTGGCACAACGTTTGTGTCACATTGCGATCAAAGTTTTCCGCGGAATTATTACAACGGCAATGTGCAAGTGCACAGTTATTCGGCTCTTCTCTATGACTCGAACGCTTTTCAAACTTTCTGACCAGGGTTATATCTACTTCATTTGATGGACTTTCCTTAAATTTTACGTGATTGTCATTTCATTCAGCAAATTCGCTTGCTTCGCTTTCAAATTTTTCATTCAACTAATTTTACAAACGCCGCGCACGTCATGTGGTTTCCCATTTGTTGTTGGTTTTGTCACATCGACTTCCGGTCGTTTTGTAAAATTAAAATCCAATAGAATTAAGCTATCTTTCCAAGAATACAAGAGCACCAAATTTAATAAAACAATTATTCCATTCGCGCTTGTTGGATATGAGATTGGTTATACCATCTCATATCCAACGCGCGCTCATGGAATAATTGTTAAATATTTNGAAAAACACCTCAAGGAGTTGAGTGTTTTGAGCTGAACCGAAGCGAGCCCGGTTCTTGACCAGCCACGAAAAACCGGAGATTCTGAAGATGAATCTGACGCTAAGATAGTTTCTGTCCTTGACTCTAAATCTGGCCAACAATGAGCTCCACACAAACAGCTCGAAATGCCAAGGCTGTCAAAGCAAGGGAATCCTGAAAGGGGTCTTGTCGAGAATAATTTTGGCACAACGTTTGTGTCACATTGCGATCAAAGTTTTCCGCGGCATTATTACAACGGCAATGTGCAAGTACACTGTTATTCGGCTCTTCTCCATGACTCGAACGCTTTTCAAACTTTCTGACCAAGTTTATATCTCCTTCATTTGATAGACTTTCCTTAAATTTTACGTGACTGTAATTTCATTCAGCAAATTCGCTTGCTTCGCTTTCAAATTTTTCATTCAACTACTTTTACAAACGCCGCGCACGTCATGTGGTTTCCCACTTGTTGTTGGTTTTGTCACATCGACTTCCGGTCGTTTTGTAAAATTAAAATCCAAGAAAATTAAGCTATATTTCCAAGAATACAAAAGTACCGAATTTAATAAAACAATTATTCCATTCGCGCTTGTTGGATATGAGATTGGTCATACCATCTCATATCCAACGCGCGCTCATGGAATAATTGTTAAATATTTGGGGTCATTTTTAATAAAACAATTTTTCCACTCGCGCTTCTTGGATATGAGATGATCATAGCCAACTCAACGCTAGGCGCCTCGTTGGCTATCTATCATCCCTTATAAT